TATTTGGTTCTTTTTCAAATATTCTAGATTACCTTTTAGAGTTTCCTACAGATTTTTTATTGTGTTAAATATTGATTTTATTTATTTAAAAATAAGAAGCAATACTATTTAAGGAACACATCTTCTTCCAAGACCAACTTGTTTGCATTTAGGATTCACTAACCGTCCTTCCTCCAGACAGCCTGCTGGCCCCACCTGCTGCTCCTGTCAGCTGACCTGGGTTTCCTTGGTTTCTACCCTGCAGGCCCAGCTACCGAGCCTTCCGGGCAGTCAGTGTGCTGTGGTCCCAGCCACCGGGGAGGCTGAGGAAGGGTGGCTTGACCCCAGGAGACCACCATGGACAAAAGTGAGACCCTGTCTTAAAGTATTTTTAAAAATAAAAAATATTGTGTGGGGAAAAAAAAAAGTACACTTGTTTTATAGTCTGTTTCTCATAATTCCAATACCTGAAGTCCTTGAGGATCTGTCTCTACTGGTTTTAACTCATGGTGCCTTGTTTCCTTTCCTTTTTGTCTGTGTACTACTAATCACTGTCTTTAAAAGATATCTGTAGGGATTTTTTGTATCTTATGATGGAGGTAACTTCTTCCAGAGAGGTTTTATGTTTGCTCCTGTCAGATGCCTGAAAGCCCTACCAAGCCAGAAACACCTTAAACTCATGCTTGATTTCCCTAACTACCAGGCAATGCAGACCTGGGCTAAAATCCTCACAAAGGCCAATCTATCGCCACAGTTCTCAGAGTCAGGTTTTCCCCCTTTTCTTTTTTTTTCCTGCTACATTTAGCAAAAAGACAACCATGTGGGGACAGGAAATGAAGTGAGGTGAGTGGTTTGTCCTTACCTCGAGTTTCATTTAACATGGGGAGGGTCTCTTTTGGGCTCCCCACCTAGACCCGGCCCGGATCTTAGCTAGCGTTCTTTTCACCCGACAAGTCCTCCAAAATCCAAGCTCCACTTTGTCCACTTCAGCAAATGCCCTCAGGGCAAAGGCAGATTCCACCCAAAGATGTTCAAATTACCTTTCTCAGTTCTTACTTTTGGTTAGATTTTCATCTAGAATGTCCTTGCCATATTGTCGGTTCTTTGATTTTTTTTAATCCAACAATTTTAGTTGTTTTCTATGGGGTGGGGAAGTAGAAGGTGGTCCAAATAACCCAGACTAACATTCTCAAAAACATAAAACCTTGCTGTTTTTCTTGCAAAATTTATCTGATACACAATTATATTGAAATTTATATTCTCTCATCGCTTTATGGAATTATTCTACTTTCTACCAGCTTCTGTTTATGTTGATGAGATATCTGCTGTTAACCTAGTTGATGTTCCATTTTAGGTAATCTATTTTTTACCTCTATCTTAATATCCTC